GTAAACTAGCTCAGAATATAAAAACAGGCAGCAAAAGTTTCTATAAATATGTAAATCATAAAAGAGTGGCGAAGGTAAACATTGGCCCTGATGAAATGCATCCCAGGGTACTAAAAGAGGTGATGGGGGAAACAGCAAATACATTAGTAATTATTTACCAAAATTCACTGGACTCTGGGGTGGTTCCCGCAGATTGAAAAACAGTCAATGTGACGCCACTGTTTAAAAAAGGAAGTAGACAAAAAGCAGGTAACTATAGGCCAGTTAGCTTAACTTCGGTAGTGGGGAAAATGCTTGAATCTATCATTAAGGAAGAAATAGCAAGACATCTGGATATAAATTGTCCCATTGGGAACACCCAGCATGGGTTCATGAAGGGTAGGTCATGTTCAACTAATTTGGTGGAAGTCTTTGAGGACATTACTTGCATGGTGGACAATGGGGAACCTGTGGATGTGGTGTATCTGGATTTCCAGAAGGCATTCGACAAGGTGCCACACCAAAGATTGCTACATAAGATAAAGTTGCACGGTATTACAGGTAATGTACTGGCATGGATAGAGGATTGGTTGACCAGTAGAAAGCAAAGAGTAGGGGTAAATGGGTGTTTTTCTGGTTGGTGGTCAGTGGCTAGTGGTGTGCCTCAGGGATCAGTGTCGGGACCGCAATTGTTTACAATTTACATAGATGATTTGGAATTGGGGACGAAGTGTGGTGTGTCAAAATTTGCAGATAACACTAAGGTGAGTGGTAGAGCAAAGTGTGCAGAAGACACTGAAAGTCTGCAGAGGGATATAAATAGTCTAAGTGAGTGGGCAAAGGTCTGGCAGGTGGAGTACAATGTTGATAAGTGTGAGGTCATCCATTTTGGTAGGAATAACAGCAAAATGGACTATGTTCTAAATGGTAAAAAATTGCAGCACGCTGCTGTGCAGAGGGACTTGGGTGTCCTTGTGCATGAATCGCGAAAAGTAGGATTGCAGGTGCAGCAGGTGATTAAAAAGGCAAATGGAATTTTGTCTGCCATTGCTAGAGGGATGGAGTTTAAAAACAGGGAGGCTATGCTGCAGCTGTATAGGGTCCTGGTGAGGCCACACCTGGAGTACTGTGTGCAGTTTTGGCCTCCTTACTTGAGAAGAGATATACTAGCACTGGAGGGGGTGCAGAGGAGATTCACTCGGTTGAGTCCAGAGTTGAGAGGGTTGGATTATGAGGATAGACTGAGTAGACTGGGATTATACTCATTGGAATTCAGACGAATGAGGGGAGATCTTATAGAAACATATAAGATTATGAAGGGAATAGATAAGGTCGAGGCAGGGAGGTTGTTTCCGCTAGCAGGTGAAACTAGGACAAGAGGGCATCGCCTCAAAATAAAGGGAAGCAGATGTAGGACTGAGGTCAGGAGGAACTTCTTCACTCAAAGGGTTGTGAATCTGTGGAATTCCCTGCCCAGTGAAGCGGTTGAAGCTACCTCGCTGAATGTTTTTAAGGCAAGTCGAGATAGATTTTTGAACAGTAAAGGAATTAAGGGTTATGGTGAGTGGGCGGGTAAGTGGAGCTGAGTCTCAAAAAGATCAGCCATGATCTTATTAAATGGCGGGGCAGGCTCGAGGGGCCAGATGGCCGACTCCTGCTCTTAGTTCTTATGTTCTTATTGCTGGATCATTGGGAAGTGTTAATAAATAAGAGGCAGACATATGCAATCTTGCATTCTGTAAATAAACCAACAATCAAGAAAAGGATCCATATCTAGCTTCCTACTTCATCATCAGGCTTGAAATCTGCTTAACAGTTTAAAAATAAACTTGTGTAGCAATATCAGAAGGGTTTTGAGGAAGATTATATTTGCAGCATACTAATTATTTATTACTGCTAACAGTAAACAAATCAGCTCTAATGACAAATTGCTGTGGGCTGGATTTTCAACAGTCAGCAGGTCTAGGCCAGGTGTATGTGAGATTTAACAAAAATAATCGCAGCCCCACAGACGATCTGCAATTTCAATAGTGAGGGCAGTCGGGGGGAAAAGGATGCCTGCCCCCATTAATTAATGGCTCAATAAATTCCTTTAAGATCTTGTTAATGGTTTCCAAATATCAATGGAGATTTTAGGTGCTTGGTACTAAGCAGCTGTCAGTTTATAATGAGGCAAAAGAGAGTGCCCATGTTAAATTGCAGAGGTTTCTCAGGCAGACATCTAGGATCTAGGAGTTAGATGTAAAGGCGCTCACATCTTGCATCTACCAAGTCCTTGCTCGAGTCCCCATGCTCAGGAAATCTGGCTGTCCATAGCTAAAGTTGAAAACCAGAAGGACAATGTGGCTGACAGATTGCAGACTTTGAAGTCCTTACCCACCTTTTTGGACCAGGTTTGTTGCTCAGACACTTTTCAGCCTCACAAAGAACCAGAAAAAGGTGGAAAAGTGAGGAAGGCATTGGAAGCAGGTATGTGTGTGTGCTTGAAAACAGATTTTTCACACTTTTCCCATGCTTACCTGACCCAAAACCATTGTTACATTAAAAATCCCCACTGAGCTCCTGATCATCATCAACCCCTTTTTCTGAAGTATATGAGAAAATATATCTTAAATTAAACACTTGGAAAACTATTCCTCTTCCAGTCAGCTCCCATAGCAGAATATATCCCACTGTTAACTAAGATCAGCAGTGAGATCTTGGAATACTTGGGCCATTTTCCACATCTTAGGATCCTCCTCTTGATGGATGCAGGATAGACTACAAAATTCTTCATTGCCTTCAGCAGTTTGAGGGGGTAACTGAAGTCATGGTTTACTGGGCAGCAGTGATCTCCATGCTACTGCAAACTTCAGATACTTCAAAAACCTAGAGCAGCACCTCAAAGCACTGGAGAAGTATAATCAGTAGTCTCTTTGCTAATCCCCTAAATATAGTAGGGAAAAGTGAGGTTCAACGGCACAGTCCCGCTCCAAGCCAACTTTCCCAGCATAAATCAAAATCAGTCAAAACCAGACCTGTTGGTCTGGACATATGCCAGACCATCAGACTCCCAAAGCAAATGCTCCACTAAACCTCAGTTGTGGCCAAGATTTCTCGGAGGATAGTGCTCAAAGCATCCTTGAAGAAGTCAAAGATCCTCATCAATGCATCGAGTCCCTGGCTTGTCAACAAGCAAACTGGAGAAGGTTCATCCAGGAAGGCAATGACCACATCAAGAGAATTAGTTGGTAACATACAGAAGTGAAGTTGAGACATTGGAGGGAGTGCAGAAGCCTCTGAACAACCTATTTACTCAAATATTCAAGAACTAGCGGACTACATATGGGAAAGTCTGTGGATCACTCATTGTACTATCAGAACTCATTGAACTCGAAGCAAATTCTCTATCTTAATGGAGTGCCTAAGAAGAAAAAAATTACTCCCTAAATGTCACAAAGTAATTGATACTTTGTTGCTTGCTAAACAACTCTGAAATAACAGGAATAGTGAACAACGAACCTGAACAAGGATTGAAGTCAAATTTTTTTGTTTTAAAAAATAATCGGGCACTACTAAATTATTTGCACAAAAATAATATCTAAAGTCCAAAGATGATTACAGCGATATCCTTTTTCTTTATTCCAAAGCCTTTCCCTTAAGTTCTCAAACAATTTCTCAGCCAATAATATTAGCTGTCTCTATCGGGGCTATTACATCTGCCAGGCGTAACAGAACCTTTGATTGATTAACCTTCAAATTTGCCCTCGGTAGAGAGATCTGGCTTGCCACTGCTCAGCACTCTCCCCTTGGGCTTGTGAGGTGACAGCTGAGATTTTCTTCAGGGCCCTCTGAACCCTACTGTCAAGTTGGAATGTGGGACAGAAGCTGTGTAGGAAACATGCCTGCTGTGATTTGCCCTGAGGTGGCCCATTAATGCCCAATTAATAACTGCAGACAGACGATGCTCGAGGGCACATCAGAGGCCTTTCAACTTAAAAGAAGCAACAGGACACAAAAGTACGTAAGTTTCTTCAAAACAGAGGTACGATCTCTCCAACTTCTTTAAATTTAAATTTTAAAAAATGACTTTAGGTGCCAGGTCACTTTTGTGGAAAAGGTGGATGCAATAAGGGGCAGGAACCTCTCTTTAGAGTGGTCTAACACTGTTGCAGGTGATCCTTTAGACCTGGCTAGCATGCTGATTCTTCCATATGTCACCAGAAGGTTGCCTGCTAGAAGTTAAACTGATCTTTGTCACTTGTGGGAACTTGGAGGTTGACTGGAAAGTTCCAGTTGGCCTCCTTTTATTGGCTTTAAGTAGCTCTAAATGAGCTGTGCCGCTACCAGCTGCATCAGGATGGATAGTGATGTCACAATGCCTCCCATCCCACCTCATAAAAACATGGCATAATATGGAGCTAGGGAACCAGCAAAATGGGCAACAGCATCATTGCTGGCTCACCCAATCCCAATATCTATAGGACCTAAAAACAAGCTCTAATTGTAGATGGTACTTTGCTGCATTCTGTTTTGCAATATCATTAACACTTTTGCAACAAAAATATGTAGTGCTGGGCCACTACATTTCAGTATATTAAGTGACACTTCCATATTAACCATGGTTAATGTCAAGAAATTACCCAATCAGTCTAATTAAGGTAATATTCTGAAGGCTTTCTACTTTGGGGCAATTTGCATAGTGCATAAAACAAATCAGTGTGATACATCAAAATCAAAGTCAATTGTCTGTAATTGCCCTCAATTTCCTTGTCTTTTCTACAACTTTTGACACACCACAGCATCCTCTTCTAACAACTCTCCATCTAATCAGAGACAGAAGAGATCCACCATGTTTCTCGTTGTGTTTCTGCTCCATTATTGCTGAAGATCTTCCTTGAAATTTAACTCTTTGACCAAGCTTTCAATTAACTCTGCCTAATATCTCAATTTTTGGCTCAGGATTCACTTTCTACCTCTGTAAAACACCCTGGTGGATTTTTCTACTTCAAACATACCAGATGAAAGAAAGTTGTTATCACCTGAGACTAAGTTTCTGTAGGGCTCCTAACACATTTTCCCTCGTTATGGAATCTTCCTCCTCCATCTCCAGTGCTTCTTCAAGAATCTTCAATAACACTGTGCTTTGTGCCAAATACGTTCGACCTGATACATGAGGAGACAAATCAGTGTTACATCAAAAGTTAATTTTAATAGCTCCAAAAAGTACTGTCGATGTTGAAATAATCTGAAATAAAAAACACAAAATGTTGAAAACACTCAGTAGGTCTAGCAGCATCTGTGAAGTGAGAAACACAGCTAATGTTTTACGTCAGGGGACTTTCTTCCTATTTAATAAATTATTAAGAAATCAGTTTTATTTTAGATGTGAAGTAACTACGTAAACTTAAAAAAAATTCAAAATTTTAATTGACTATTAACTGGGGCATAAAATGAAAACTTACCATGTGATAGCGATGCAAAGCCATTTATTAGTCGTGCTGTATACTGTCGGACAATCTCACTCTTTGAATTTAACAAATTAATTAGGCTCTTCTGCAAAAAGGAAAACATTGTTTTCAATCATTTACTCATATCTTAGGGTTGGCTTGAAACAATTTTTTCTATTATTTTTGCTTATCAAATTAATTTTAAAACAAGTTCATTCTGGCACCTGCAGACTATTTAATTAAGTGTTCATATTTTAACAAATGGCCTGTTTTAGTTATTGACAGGGACTTCATTTTATATTGGGCTAAGTAATGTTTAGTTGTAATAATTTGGAATACAAAATATCTAACTCCATAGGTCAGGTGATCAATGCAACACATGGTTCTCAGTCTAAAGATTCATAAAGAATCCTCCAGTTTGTATGAAGTCAGCCTGGGAAAGATGAGTGCAGAGTGGAAAATACATTTACAGAATACTTTTTATTTGAAAAACTAGATTGGTAAAAATGTTATTTTGTACCTTATAGTGTTGCACATGAAAAACATAGTATTTTGAACACAACTTCGAGTATTCACAAAGAACAAAATAAACAGCACATATTCCCTAAGCAGAAATACTCCAAGCACTATCGATTATTTCAACATAAATCATATGCTAGCTGTAGAAGCATAGATATGCTTTTACATTTTCCAATATAGAACAAAAACAAAGGAGCCAATATAGATAGAATTAATTTAAGCTGTGTTCTCATAAATCCTTGTCATTTCCCCTAAATGCGCTGAAGAAGGATGAAACAAAGGATACTGGGTGCAACATTCTGGGTGCGATTTTGCCCTCTCTGGAGGTGGCAAAAATTAAGTGAAGGGTGAGAAGGTCCATTGACTAGTCAACAATTAAGACCCATAAGTTCTCAATTAATGGCTACTTAAGGGCCTCAAATCACCCACCTCCTCCCAGATTACTTGTCAACCCAGCAAGTGAAAAAAGTGTGTTTCCTGACTGGGTAACTAGGGTGACCACATGAGGTTCGCCGCAGGCTCCACTCTTGGGGTAATCAGAGGAATGGATGATGGGATAGAGGGTGGTCTCTGAAAGCCATCACCCTGCCTGTGTTGCTGAACCACCCTGACCTCCATTTCCTGCCTGACTCTTAGCCCACAAGCAGCTAAAGATCCATTTTCATCTTATTGAATCCCCTGAAGAGTGGGCCTCAATTGACAGTTTTTAGCACGTAGAAGAAGCCAGCCTCGGACTGGCTGGCAGATTCAGGTGAGCCAAGATGCCACTATCAAAGTCCATGATTCACCATGAAGCTTGCTGCTCAGCGCTTGATTGGTGTGTGATCTGGTGAGCTTTCTTGGTGGTGAAGACACTGCTGCCAGATCCTCTGGGCCTATCAAGCAGTTTACTTCAACTTCTTCCCATTTGCTTTGGAGAACTGGACATGGGGACCACCTGGTCCACTGAAACATTATCCCGTTCTTTGACTCCACCTCAGACACCAACTTTAAATCTTAGAGCCACCCTGTGGCTTGGTATTCCATGTTCCTTTACTTTGATTCCCAGAATGTGAGTTATCTGTAGCCTTCAGCTAACCAGTGCAGCTTACCTTTAAAAGGGATAAGCCTTAAAGAGCAAGAGGCCAGCCGGAACATTTGCCATTGTGTTCTAGTATGCATGCAGTCAACGAGCAGTGGGGTCACAATGGGCTTCATCCCATAATAATTTAAATGAGCAGGCAGCTCTAAACGTAAAAGTTGCTAACATCCACCTGTCTGATTAATCTAAGATGCAGGGCTGTATTCAACTGTATAACAGTCTTAACAAATGCTTGGAAACATTAATAAAGTAAGTTAATTGTGAAGCATATTATTGTCTCTGAATTTTCAATCTGTTCAAAAACAAGGATAAGGAAGAAAGTATCTAACATGTCCTAAACATAAAATTTACCTAACAATTATAACCATCTTTTTGTTACAAGATTTTAGTTCCAGATTTACATTTATGAAGGTAAGATTAAATCTCATTCTCTGGATTATTGCTCTAAGTTTTTGGAATGCTCATCCAGTATCAAAACCACTACACTATCTTATTTTAGAATCACCATCTAAGCCATTCTCCATTAAACCTAAGGCAAGCAACATTAGATATATGAATATGAAGAACTTCCAAAATCACATAATTATCTTTCTTAAAGTGGTTGCAATTATTATGAAAGTACAACTTAAAATGCATTTTGCCTTGTAGAAACAGCCGAGAATGACCAACTTTAACCCAGTCTGTGTTTTCTTCTTTTGTAGCCATTAAATAATTAAATTCATAACTTAAAGTTTAATTTTATGCAAGTAGACATTTCCCAATCATTGTGGTTTAATATCATACTGAGTTCAGAATTCAGTCATAAAGCTGGTAAGAAAGCATATGATTTTTCCAGTGCTAAATTATGCATTATTTTGTATCTTGGTCTCACACTTTGTAATAATTGGCTTCATACTGGCCGATATATTTTCCAACAGGATCCTTAAATTCAGCAGTCTGAGTGGGTTCTAAATTTTGGGCCGAGTGATTTTTTTAAAAATGCATTAAAACAGTGCAACAATCAATCTTCAAAAAAAGCTTTGGGTCTTTATTCATCCCTTTCCCCAAAAGCACGTTATGTGAATAGAATTAATGTTCTATTCTGAATGTCTAAGGTCATTGCAACAGGTGCATCGTTTTAAACAAATTTGGCATCCATTCAGCAATATGAATACCATCTCCAAGTCCTATCTCAGGCAAAGAAAATAAGGGAGGGCAAAATAATACAATTTACTTGTACCATTATGAAATGGCAATAATTGAAGTATTTAATCTAATATAGGTAAAGTAAAGTTCAAAGGGCAAAGCAGTGTGGTTCAGAAGAAATTTTGCTAGATAAGGAATGAAATCAGCTAACCTGGCCCTTATTATGACATTCCAGCAGATCATTGCTAATGTAAGCCTGAAGGACTGTATCCCTTTGCTCTCCAGGATGAGACTGTGTCAGCCGCTATGGGAGTCAAAGAAAAATACATTAATCTACTTTTGCAGCGTACCTTTCAATAAATCTTCATATTCTTTAATCTTTTTGAATTTCAACTTTAATGCTGTTAGAATTCTAGTTCACTTTCAGGTTGATGGAAAATATTAATTTAAGGTTGGTGCAAATAAACTGATTTGATGTTTCACAAATCTGACGTTAGGGTGCATCTACTCTTTAACGCTGGTGTTAATGTTATAAAATTTCCTAGGGCATCTCACAGGGGCATTATCAAACAAAATTTGACACTGAGACACACAAGGAGATATCCATGCAGAAAACCAAATAAGAGGTAGACGTTAAGGAGCATTTTGAAGCACATGCGGAAGGTAAAGAAACAGAGTTTTATGGAGGTAATTTAGGGCTGCAGTAGTTGAATGTCAATGGTGGAGTAATTTAAAGTTGATATAGTCTAGGAAGCCAGAACTAAAGCAGTGCAAATACCTTGGAGAACTGTAGGGCTAGAAGAGATAAGGAGGGATGATACCAGGGTGTGATTTTAAAGGAAAGATGAAAATTTTAAAATCAGGATATTGTTTAACCAGGAGCTAATGCAGGTCAATGAATGACTAGGATGAGGATACGGGCTGCAGAAGTTTACATAATTTAAGTTGCTGGAGTGTGGAAGATGTAAGGCTGGCCAGAACACATTGGAAATTGTCAAGTCAAGAGATAAAAAAAAAAGTAACAGAGATTTTCAGGAGCAGAGAAGCTGAGACAAAGGTGGAATCGAGAGATGGTATGGAAGAGAAAATATGTAGTCTCATCGCTGGCAGATATATGATTAGAAGCTCATCTTGGGTCAAGTATGGCACCAACGTTAATAACAGTCTGGTTCAGCCTCAGACTGTTGCTAGGGACAGATGGAATCAGTAGCCATGAAATGGCAGACCTAAGGCAATAACATTAATCTTTTCAAAACATAGAGGAAATTTCTGCTTTTTCAGGACTCGGATTTGAATCCCACCACAGCAGATGGTGAAATTTGAAATTTGAAATTTGAACTCAATAAAAATCTGGAATTAAGAGTCTAACAATGACCATGAATCCATTGTCGATTCTCGGAAAAACCCGGCAATGGGTACCCGCATGGGCCCAAGCTACGCCTGCCTCTTTGTAGGTTACGTGGAACAATCCCTCTTCCGTACCTACACTGGCCCTAAATCCCACCTCTTCCTCCGTTACATTGATGACTGTATCGGCGCCGCCTCGTGCTCCCACGAGGAGCTCGAACAGTTCATCCACTTCACCAACACCTTCCACCCCAACCTTAAGTTCACCTGGACCATCTCTGATACCTCTCTCTCCTTCCTGGACCTCTCTGTCTCCATCTCGGGCAACCACCTAGAAACCGATATCCATTTCAAGCCCGCCAACTCACACAGCTACCTAGAATACACCTCCTCCCACCCACCTTCCTGCAAAAATGCCATCACCTATTCCCAATTCCTTCGCCTCCGCCGCATCTGCTCCCAGGATGAGGCATTTCACTCCCGTACATCTCAGTTGTCCTCGTTTTTCAAGGACCGTAACTTCCCCCCCTCAGTGGTCGAGAACGCCCTCAACCCGTGTCTCCCACATTTCCCGCAACTCATCCCTCACACCCCGTCCCCGCAATAAGAACCAAAAAAGAATCCCCCTCATCCTCACGTACCACCCCACCAACCTCCGGATCCAACGCATCATCCTCCGACACTTCCGCCATCTGCAATCCGACCCCACCACCAAAGACATCTTTCCCTCCCCACCCTTATCTGCTTTCTGGAAGGACCACTCTCTCCGTGACTCCCTTGTCCGCTCCACACTCCCCTCCAGCCCCACCACACCCGGCACTTTTCCCTGCAAACGCAGGAAGTGCTACACCTGCCCCCATACCTCCTCCCTCACCCCCAACCCAGGCCCCAAGAAGAGTTTCCACATCAAGCGGATGTTCACCTGCACATCTGCCAATGTGGTATATTGCATCCGCTGTACCCATTGTGGCCTCCTCTCCATCGGGGAAACCAAGCGGAGGCTCGGGGACCACTTTGCAGAACACCTACGCTCGGTTCGCAATAAACAACTGCACCTCCCAGTCGCGAACCATTTCAACTCCCCCTCCCATTCCTCAGACGACATGTCCATCCTGGGCCTCCTGCAGTGCCACAACGATGCCACCCGAAGGTTGCAGGAACAGCAACTCATATTCCGCTTGGGAACCCTGCAGCCCAATGGTATCAATGTGGATTTCACAAGCTTCAAAATCTCCCCTCCCCCTACCGCATCCCAAAACCAGCCCAGCTCGTCCCCGCCTCCCTAACCTGTTCTTCCTCCCACCTATCTCCTACTCCCACCTCAAGCCGCACCGCCATCCCCTACCTACTAACCTCATCCAGCCTCCTTGACCTGTCTGTCCTCCCTGGACTGACCTATCCCCTCCCTAACTCCCCACCTACACTCACCTTTACTGGCTCCATCCCCGCCTCTTCGACCTGTCTGTTTCCTCTCCACCTATCCTCTCCTCTTCTATCCGCCTCCCCCTCTCTCCCTATTTATTTCAGAACCCACTTCCCCTCCCCCATTTCTGAAGAAGGGTCTAGGCCCGAAACGTCAGCCTTTCTGCTCCTATGATGCTGCTTGGCCTGCTGTGTTCATCCAGCTCTGCACCTTGTTGTCTCGGATTCTCCAGCATCTGCAGTTCCTACTATCTCTGGTTCACTAATGTCCTTTTGGGAAGGAAACTGCCATCCTCACCCAATCTGGTCAACACGTGATTCCAGATCCACAGCAACGTGGCTGACTCTTAACTGTCCTCTGGGCATTTACGGATGGGCAATAAATGCTGCCTGGCCAGCGACGCCCTCATCCCCCGAATGTTCAAAGAAAGAAAAAGATTTTAGCACACAGTTTGGAGCAACTGTTCCCAAACTATGATAGGGTTGCAGTGATAATATTTGGAGTCAAAAACTGCTCCAGTTAAGGTAGCAATGGCAACTGTGAACAGGAGACACTGGTGGGACAGTCTGACTCACTGGCTGCTTGCTGCCAAACAGCAAGAGGTGGACACTGACCTCAAAGCATTCTTTTACTTCAGGAAATACTTTTAACAATGAGTGACTAATACGTTTAAGATGTTTCTACACAGAACTGGTGCAAGTAGAGGCAGGCAAGTGTAATTCAGCAACTGACTGAATGCAGGAGAAACTGGGGGAACATGTCACTGAACTGGGAAGGCAAGTAGTGGCTTCAGGCTTTAGTGTGTTCATGCTCTTGAACTACAAGCTCCTTACCTTGAGATGGCGACTCTGCAGGCAATGGAAACTAGGTCAAAAGTAGGGCAGGCCAGCAGTCATAGAAGAGGGATTGGTTACAGTGTTGGGAGGCAAGGACAGAGGGGATGATTACTATCTTGTGCTGGGGGTGTGATAGGTGGAGGAGAATATTAGGGACTGGTTACAGTGTAAGAGTGGGGCTGATTACCAAGAGGCTGTGGGGCAAGGGTAATAGGCTGATAACACAGGTGTGAGGGCTTTGATTAAGTCTTCTGTCCCTGGGGAATACAGAAAGCTTGGCTGAAACCAAAATGAGTACATACAATATTAACAGTTCTACACAGTACTTTAAAAATGCAGATTTTCATGGGTGCAATTTCTCCCCCACCCGCTGCTGAGGTGGCGACAGCAACGACATGATGATGATTTGGAGTGCTGGCCCTGGTATATTTGTCCCTTTGTTGCCACTTCACCAATTAAATGCTGCGTGAGAAGATCCACTGGGGGCTTCCTTGACTTGCTGACAACTAAGGCCCTTAAGTGGTTAATTAATGGCCACCTAAGGGTCTCAATCAGCCAATTACCTACCATCCTGGCAGATAGGAAAGGTATCTAGTTTCCCAACTGGATAACCAGGCTGGCCTGTCCAATGGGTGCCTCCATTTGCCCCAACTGGGGGCAATCAAAGGCACGTATTGGGAGCAAGTGCATGGCCTCTTCCTCTGACCCTCACCCCTTGATTCTCTCTCCCAGTGATTCCACTCCAATATCAAGATGTGTGATAGGCCAAGAGCAGACTGATCAGCTCTAAACAATCTATTTAGGAAGTGATCTAGTGAACATCTCAGGGGTGGTAAGTGTAGACAGCTTAACACACTCACACCCCTACATGTAGTCTATATAAGGGAAAATTATGGCCCATACCTGAGTATTGCTCAAAAGAAAGGCATGGCAAGACTGAAGTTTGGCATTCTTACATTTTCCCTGATGACTGCAAGGTGAAAAGCTCCAGTAACACATTTCTCTTTTTCAACAATTTTAATTTTCATATTTATATGGCACATTATTATAATGTAATCTATATAATGCAAACTTTAATAATTATGCACCTAACATACTGCTTTATTTTTGCTAACGTGTGGAGTAACATAAATTTCCAAGTGTGAAAGTGGGTGCACATTAGAAAATAGTTTGGGAACTAACGATCTAAAGTCAGTGAAGAATTGAAGAAAGTGGTGATGAGACAGAGTTTGGTGCTATCAGTACACATATTTTGAATAATATTGTCAAGTTTGGAGATGAGAAGTTATGCCAGTGACAGTAATATAAGAACAGGAAGAGAAATCAGGTGCAAGTAATAATTTAACTATGGACATTGTTTGTATATATTTGGAACCTGACTGTACTTTTAGAGATATTGTTGAGGAGCAGAATGTATACAATAAATAGATCAGAAACAGTAGATCCTTGTGGAACACCCGAAGAAATGGTGCGGGATCAGCAAGAAAAGCCATGGTCCTCTGGCTACAACCAGATAGATAAGAATATTGCAGTCCCACTTAACTGGACAACAGAGGAACGGCCCTGGAAGAGAACAATGTTGTCAAATGTGTCAAGATTGCAGTGAGGTCAAGAGGATAAGGAACAATAGTTCACCACCATCACACTCACATAAGATGTCATGAATAATTTTGATAAAAGTAGATTAGGTATTAATTGCTCTTATTTCTCGATACTCATTCTAAGTAATTCGGATGGTACAGAACCTCAAGAGGTTTCAATAACATTGGCCTCAGTTTAGGGAGGGGACAATTGGTCAAGGCTTCAGGTCTGGGTTGATAGACTTCAAAATTTGTTGCAAATGCGACTTCTGTCAGCAGTGGGTAGGTTTAGACATTACTCCATCACTTGCTGCAGTTGAAGAGCCTATGATTTGTATCTTGAAGATGTAGTATATCTGGACTTCAGGAAGCATTTGATAAGGTGCCACACAAAAGGTTAATACACAAGGTAAGGCCACAGGGGTTTAGGGGCAATTTGTTAGCTTGGATAGAGAATTGTCTAGTCAACAGAAAACAGGCAGTTATGACAGATGGGTCTTGTTCTGGCTGGCAAGATATAACTAGTGGGGTACCACAAGGTTCAGTCCTTGCCCCCAACTATTTACAATCTATATCACGGGAGTCAGATGCAGGAATAGTAGGTACTATAACCTACTATGCACAGGACCTAAAATAGGTGAGAAACTAACCCGCAATAAAGAAATAAGAAATTTACAAATGGATATGGATAGGTTAGGTGAATGGATCAAAATGTGGCAGATGGACTTTAATGTGGATAAGTGTAATGTTATCCATTTTGATCAGAAGAAAATAAAGGCAATTTATAATCTCTATGGACAGAAACTTCAGAGTGCTTCGACAAAGATGGATTGAGATGTCTTTGCACATGAATCTAGAAAATTAGTATGCAAGTATAGCAGGTAATAATGAAGACAAATGGCATTTATAGCTAAAGGAACACAGTATAAAAGTAGGGAAGTGTTGCTGCAACTGCACAAGGCATTAGTGGAGTATTGTGTACAGTCTTGACCCTTTCACTTGAGGAAGGATGTCATTGCATTGGAGGCATTTCAGAGGAGGTTCACTGAATTGATTCTAGAAGTGAGGAATTTATCTTATGAAGAGAGAATAAGCAATTTAGACATATTTTATTGAGTTGAGAAAAATGACAGGAAATCTAAATGAGGTACACAAGATACTAATATATTGACAAAGTAGATGAAGATAGGATATTTCCTACTGTGGGGTAATCTAGAACGAGAGGTCATTGTTTTAGGATAAGAAGTGGCAGATTTAGAACAAACATGATGAGAAATTGCTTCTTTCAAAGGGCTGTGAATCTGTGGAATTCACTACCCCAGAGTGCGGTGGATGCTAGGTCATGGAGTAAATTGAAGGAGGAGAAAGACAGATTTTTAATTAGTAATGGGTTGAAAGGTTATGAGATCAGCCACGATCACATTGAGTGGCAGAGCAGGCTCGAGGCTGCCGAATTGCCTGCTCCAAATTCTTATGCCATATTCACGGTCACAGCTCACATTTTAATTATGGGAGGCTGGACAAAACTGTAGCTCAACTAAGAACTTATTTCTTTCAGGAAAGTTGAGGAGAGAGAAAATGCTATTAAAGTGAAATGTGGTCAATAAGATTAGGTGTCTTCAACATGGCCGGCGGCTGGTGGGGGAGGGAGCGGGGTATACAAACAGCCAGAAAGTACTCAATGCATAGCTTCAAACACCGAAGAACAGATACTTGGCCAAGCTTTCAAAGGGCTACTGGCATCCATCAAAATATTTGCCAGCAGAAGTAATAACCTTTAAGAAAGCATGCATGAAAATGTGCAGGCTAGAGAACAGTATATTTCTGGCAAGGGTAATATAAAGAAAGGAAATTATGAAATACAGCTTCAGAATTGGGTAAACACAAAATTAAATCTCAGCAATCGACATAAATTTTACGTTAATACTGTACGTTGTTGATCTTATTATCCACATTCAGAATGTATTGTATAAACTGGAAACAATGCATCATCACACTCAAGCCAAGCGGCAAAAGCTTCGAAATAACTGACGCTGTGGAATAATTTACTGAAGTTAAACACAATTTTATACACACCCAACGTAGTGCTTGCAAAAGAAGCGCCTTTAGTCGATCATTTCCATAGACCAAATCATTCTTCAACTTTTCATAATCAAGAGATGGTAACAGAGGTACATCTTTTGATTTCCTAAAGAAATTAAAAAATTAGTAGCATCAATATTATTTTAAAAATTGCATTGCAAGTGCAAAACAGTTAACTTAAACCTCAAAGTGCAATTTTTCAGGGAATCATATTGTCTATCAAAAATTAATAATGAATAATTTAATCAATTTAATTTCAACCAAATAGCTAATTGATTAAACACAAATAAATCAATGTCAGCTGAATTCCATCAGGAATTCATAAGCATCTCAGTTGGAACAATGCTGGGCTGAAGATCTAAAGTTCCCTGGTTCAATGCTGAGCTCCGGCAATGATCTCATTTGAGAAGCTCTTATGATACAGAGGTAGTCCCTACCCCTGGACTAAGAGGCCTGGGTTCAAGTCCCACCTGCTCCAGAGATGTGTAATAGGTTGATTAGGAAAAAATAGGTTAAATTAAAAAAAAGCACCAGAAAATTCGGCATTCACATGGTCACGTCCTTTTCAAAGCAACCTTTCGCAAACCAGCAAGTATCATAAAATTAACCAATCCAGCTACTCAAATAATAGCATTTAACATTTGTTAATTGCTATTCTCATTCCTCATTCAAATGAAAATATACAAACAGAAATAGTATTAATAAGATGGCACATTAAAAGAAAAATCATTAACGTTATCACAAAATTCATGTGTGAAATATCTGCATAAAAGTTCCCTTTGATCGGCCTGCACTTAACTTTGAGTGGGTGCTCCAGTTGGAGATTTCACTTGAGCATGGGCATTGGAATTTTCTGGCTTTGCATGCAAGTAAGTCAAATAGAGATAGGACATATAAGCCACTTACATCTTTCTTGTGTGGAATGTCAAACCTACCCATTACAGCATAACAAACATAGTTGCAAAACATTGTAACCAAGTAGAAAGGAAATGGGATAACGAGATGTGGAGCTTTCTGAAGAAGGGTCTAGGCCCGAAACGTCAGTCTTCCTGCTCCTCTGATGCTGCTTGGTCTGCTGTGTTCATCCAGCTCCACACCTTGTTATCTCAGATTCTCCAGCATCTGCAGTTCCTACTATCTCAGAAAGGAAAAGGGAGTTCTCTCAACAGCGGAATATCCAGTTCGTGAGAAGGTAACATATCCCCGACTCAATCATTACCATCAAGCCAGGGGATCAACCCTGGTTCAATGAAGAGTGCAGGAGAGCATGCCAGGACAGCACCAGGCATACCTGAAGATGAGGTGTCAACCTGGTGAAGCCACCAAACAGGACTACTAGCACGCCAAACAACGAAAGCAGCAAGTGATAGACAGAGCTAAGCGATCCCACAACCAATGGATCAGATCTAAGCTCTGCAGTCCTGCCACATCCAGTTGTGAATGGTGGTGGACAATTAAACAACTCACTGGAGGAGGCGGCTCCACAAATATCCCCATCCTCAATGATGGAAGAGCCCAGTACATCAGTGCAAAAGATAAGGCTGAAGTATTCGCAGCAATCTTCAGCCAGAAGTGCCGAGTGGATGATCCATCTCAGCCTCCTCCAGTGGTCCCCAGCATTACAGATACCAGTCTCCAGCCAATTCGATTCACTCCACGTGATATCAAGAAACGGTTGGAGACATTGGATACTGCAAAGGCTACGGGCCCTGACAACATTCCGGCAATAGTACTGAAGACTTGTGATCCAGAACTTGCCGCTCCCTTAGCCAAGCTGTTCCAGCACAGTCACAACACTGGTATCTACCCGACAATGTGGAAAATTGCCAAGTATGTCCTGTACACAAAAAGCAGGACAAATCCAACCCGGCCAATTACCGCCCCATCAGTCTCCTCTTGATCATCATTTAAGTGATGAAAGGTGTTATCAACAGTGCTATCAAGCAGCACCTGCTCAGAAATAACCTGCTCAGCAACGCCCACTTTGGGTTCCGCCAGGGCCACTCAGCTCCTGATCTCCTTACAGCCTTGGTTCAAACATGGACAAAAGAGCTGAATTCCAAAGGTGAGGTGAGAGTGACAGCCCTTGATATCAAGGTTGCATCCGACCGAGTGTGGCATCAAGGAGCCCTGGCAAAACTGGAATCAATGAGTATCAGGGGGAAAACGCTCCAGTGGTTGGAGTCATACTTGACACATAGGAAGATGGTTGTGGTTGTGGGAGGTCAATCATCCCAGCTCTAGGACATCTCTGCAGGAGTTCCTCAGGGTAGTGTCCTAGGCCCAACCATCTTCAGCTGCCTCATCAATGACCTTCCCTCCATCATAAGGTCAGAGGTGGGGATGTTCGCCGATGATTGCACAATGTTCAGCACCATTCGTGACTCCTCAGATACTGAAGCAGTCCATGTTCACATGCAACAAGATCTGGACAATATCTAGGCTTGGGCTGACAAGTGGCAAGTACATTTGCACCACACAAATGCCAGACTATGACCATCACCAATAAGAGACAATCCAACCACCGCTCCATGACATTCAATGGTGTCACCATCACCGAATCCCCCACTATCAACATTCTGGGGGTTATCATTGACCAGAAACTCAACTGGACTCACCACATTAACAGAGTGGCTACAATAGCAGGCCAGAAGCTGGGAATATTGCCGCGAGTAACTCACCTCCTGACTCCTCAAAGCCTGACCACCATCTACAAGGCACAAGTCAGGAGTGTGATGGAATACTCCCCACTTGCCTGGATGAGTGCAGCCCCAACAACACTCAAGAAGTCTGACACCATCCAAGACAAAGCAGCCCGCTTGATTGGCAAACATTTACAAGCATTCAATCCCTCCACCACCAACGCTCAGTAGCAACAGTGTGTACTAGCTACAAGATGCACTGCAGAAAATCACCAAAGATCCTCAGACAGCACCTTCCAACCCACGACCACTTCCATCTAGAAGGACAAGGGCAGCAGATATACAGGAACACCATCACCTCCAAGTTCCTCTCCAAGTCACTCACCATCCTAACTTGGAAATACATCGCCGTTCCTTCACTGTCGCTGGGTCAAAAACCTGGAATTCCCTCCCTAATAGCATTGTGGGTCAACCCACAGCAGGAGGAATGCAGTGGTCCAAAAAGGCAGCTCACCACCACCTTCTCAAGGCAACTAGGGATGGGCAAGAAATGCTGGCCAGCCAGCGACACCCACATCCCACAAATGAATTAAAAAAACATTCAATTTTTTTTCCACTATTCTCACTGCTTCTATGAAATACCTCTTTTTTCCAAAAGATTTCTAGTATTTTTTTCTTGAATATTCAGAGGATGCAAACTCAGGCAGAAAGTAAATGAAACACTTTGAGGCACAAGTGGTAGACAGAAAAATAACTCATTTTTACCTACAATTTATACAAGATTAATGTTGAATTAATGTTACTGAGGTGCATTAAGGTTTGTGATGCTGAAAAGGGACTGTTAATTGCACTGCATTCATTAGCAAATGTTTACAAGATAGGATAAATATCCTCTTAAACACACTTGCTAGCTTCAGATACTTTGCCAAAGTCAGTTCAGAATGATTACTAGAAACATGCATCGGTACTTCTGCTGATGCACATCCTGTTTGGGACAGTATATGTTAAGTTGATCGATCACACTCATGAAGGTGCTGAGCCTCCGGCATACTGAGTGGAGAGGAAACTGGAAGTAAAATCTGCCTTCCAAGGCACATTGATTTCCCAGTCTGCAGCTTAAAGCACGTGTAGATCTCCGGCCTTGTTTGGTAGGCAGCAAGAAGTGGGAACTATTGACAATTGGCCTTAAGCACAACACACCATTAAATGTAGGAGTGCAATATTGCTAAAATCTCTGGATATCAACCAAACAAGACTAAACCACCAATTTGACAAGTTCAGTTTGTGCAGCATCTATCTGCCTCAGCAAGTCATCCTAACAGGAACAGAAATAATGTGCTTCAGCAAGCCCCACTTCAAGAAGTTTTTCCAATATAGGCAAGGGAGATTTGGCTCTAACCTCGAAAAACAGGAGACTGGGAGTGGGGCCTCTGAAGAATGTTGTCCCGAAGCCGGGGGCCCAGAAGCAGGCAATTGTGGCTGAAGCTGTACACCTGTTGTGGTTTGGTATCAGTTAACCAGCCAGAACTGTGGTGAATAAATGTTGTTTTTAGTAGCTACTGCAGATACTTGTCTCATGTTAACAACCACATCCATAAGTAAGCACTTGCTCCAGGAGTGTTACATAACATGCACAAAGCTTACTTACGTGAAGATTAAACATAAACAATTATAGCACTTGTAATTATACTCAGGAATTCAACTAACTCCATCTCATGCCACTTTTTGTTTCACAGAATAATAAATATATCACAAGAATGATATAAGGATATGAAAGATTAAATTCTGAGGATGTATTGCATAAGCTTGGTTTTTATTTATGATGTGGAGGTGCTGGTGTTGGACAAGGTCAGAAATCACACAGCATCAGCTTATAGTCCAACAGGTTTATGTGAAAACACAAGCTTTCGGAGCTTAGCCCCTTTGTCAGGTGAAGTCATGCTCTGGAAGCTCATGATTTCAAATAAACCTGTTGGACCATAACCTGGTGTTGTGTGATTTCTGACCTGGTTTTTATTTATGTATGGAAAATTGAGGAGTGATCTGTTGATTTAAAAATTCTATTGGCTAGATATAGAGAAACTATTTTCTCTAATTGGGAAATTAGGAGTGATGGAACGCAGTTTTAAAGTCAGAGTTAGACGACTTAGGAGAGAAATTAGAATATTTTTCACACATCAATCAGACAGAAATCTGTCTGGATGCAAGGAAAGATGAAGCTTTTGAGATAGGGATAGATAGATTTTTCTTAGGTGTTATGATTCCATCTGATGTTATTTCTAGACAAGTCGGACCCCAGAATGAAACGTGGCTTGACATATCATATTTTGTTTTATTTTTGATTAATGATGTGATCTTGCACTAAGACACAGCATGCAATGCTGAAGATTCATTTGTAACAATAAAACAGAAATTTTTGCACAGAAGAAATTAAAATAAAATAGAATAAATCAAGCCACATATA